ACACTATTTGATTACGTCTCTAGTTTTGCTCTGTTACAATTGCGACCCGCATGCTATGACACACTGCTGTATTTACGTGTCTCTCTTGCTAGTCAAGAGAACTCTCAGAATGGAAGAAACCGGTTCCTTGCAAAGAGGCATCAATTACGGCCTTCGTGGCTAAAATTTCTCAGTCATATTTCACATCTTCAAAGTATCGCCACCACTCTCACGAAAGAGAGGGTGATGATGAAATCTTACAGATATTTACGAGAGTGAAACTTCTTATGGCGGTATATATGGTATCCCTTCTTTCAGTGTTAAAGAAAATTAGAATTAAGGATAAATTAGCCTCATTACTAAAAAAATAATTTGTTTACAATTAAATGAGATTTGAAAAATTGAAGAAAAAAATTAATTTGATAAAAGAAAAACCAGGAAAAGAAAGTATTTATTTCAATTATTTGAAAATATTTCTTTAAATAAAATGTATTTATTGATAATGAAGTATATACTGCACATTTTCGTCTTATTTAGAAATTGCTAGTAACATTATTAGTAATGTTCACATAACATTACTAATAATGTTACTAGCAACATTATTAGTAATGCTCACAAAATTGCAATCGGGTAGTCAGTTCATACTGGAGATGGCGAATGATATGACCGAAATGACAGTTGTTGAACACGTGGATGTATTCCGAACTTTTTAAATTATCGTTTTAAACATGAAAATATCTTTCGCGCTAGAACTAAACTTCACAAGTTCCATCGAACTTAGTAATACCAATCACGTACTTCCGTTTTCATGTTTTCAGCAAACAGAAGAAAACATCAATCCTTTTCACTATTTTTTAAAATCCAAAGCCATCTAAATAACAATGCATGTGACCCGCGTAAGTTGCCCTGTCCAGTTTCCCAAATCAACTTCCTTCCTCTCGCAACGATCCATTGAAGTGAAAGTCGACACAATCAGCGGCTTCTCTCAACGGTGAGAGTGGCTCTCCTGGCGAGAACTCCGCCAGGCCCCGAGTTCCGGCCGGCGCGAGCGATGCTGGGTTCCTGGTGGTGGGTGACGGCGCTGGCGGTGCTGAGCGTGGAGGTCGCGGCGGGCGGGCGCCTGGGGCCCAAGTGCTGCGGCGCGGGCGAGCGCCTGGACGCGCGGCTGCGGCGCTGCGAGGCGGCCCCGCCCCCCGCGGAGGACCGTCGCCCGCTCCCAGGCCACTGGCCCAACTGCAGCGACGGCCTCATGCTGCGCCTCGCTCACCCCTCCCCCGACAGGTACGTGGCTCAATGGAACGAGCTGGAAGGGACACGTTTACATTTCCAGAACTTGCTCGCGTGAATGTGACAAGGCGAATACCGAAGGAAAAGTTGCAAGGATCAGAAAAGTTTTCTTGTAGCTCCAAATGTCAGAAGTGTGAATGTATATCCCTTCAAACCGGCTTAGGTGGCTCAGGGCTGCTAATTTATGTCACAAAACAGTGCCTTTGATCTGGAAGTCCTAGGGTTTGAGCCCCGACGGTGGCAGAATTTTCGATACTAGCCAGAAGACAGTCGAAGAGAGACGAGCGACACGAAATGTACCACTGAGAAAATTGTACAGCAGAAGCAACGAAAGAAAACAATACACCATGCTACATCCATTTATCACGAACAGTGGATATGCGTCATCGGAAAGGTTGCAATAATATCTGAGTAATTACTTTGTCACAAATGTCAGAAAACGAACTTAATATCGTGTTTATTGTTTAAAAAAATACATTTTTCGTTAAAAAAGAACTTAAGTTTTATTAACAGATACAAATTTGTCGGATATTTGTCGACAATTTGCAATGCTCTCCGTTTTTAGCAAATTATCAATTGTGAGGAAAACAGTTCTCGAGTACAAAAAACCAATGCTACAATTCTGATACTGTTTCCCTTTTCAAATGTTAACGCTTCCACGTTTTACGAACTTCCTAAATAATTTCACATTAAACAAGAATATACACAGCTAAAGGGCAAAGTCCGGTAGCTACTAAGATACATCTTAATCTACGACGCGTGTTATTTTACGCACGCCAACACCACGCTCATGTGGCTATTGCCTATTGCTTGTTTTATATTTCTAAACGTTGGTTATGGAGTTATCGCAGGACTTAGGCCATGGCGCATATATGCGTAACGTGGTGGTATCTGCTGTACATCGAAAATGGTATTGAGCCTCACAGAAGAGTTTTTTAAAAAATCTACCTGTTCCTATAAGATTCCTCACTTCATTTTCATGACTTGGTTTTGATTTTTCAATATTACGTGCTAAACGTGAGACGCGATTCTGAATCCACGAATCTCCCTTGTAAGAAACATAGGTATGTGCCAAGAAATTTGAACTGATTTACAATTATCCTTTTTGGATTCTTTTCTGTGATAGACTTTGAGACCCGTTCCCAGTTTCTTGGGTGCTTATAAGTTCAGTAGAATCACTGATCTTATACTTAAGATATATATTTTATAACCCCTATATTCCACCCCTGTATCTGGAGACTTGGCGAAGAGATTCTGAGAAGTGATGTGAACGAATCCTGTGTTGCGTGGGTGCAGTTTCTAGCGAACGGGTCTTTAATGCATAAAGATATATTTCTCAACCTTATATATTGCCTCGGTATGCAGTGGGGAAAGGGTTTTGAGACTAGCGAATTAGTCTTAAAGTTATTAGTGCTTAAAGATATATTATTGATCCATGTATTCGTTTCGATATGCGTATTGGAGTCTTGGCAAAGAAGTACATTTTTAGTTGTGTGAACGAATCGTGCTGCTGGCGGGCAGGGGGCAGTAGCTAGCGTTCAGGCGTCTAATGCTTAAAATGGAATGATAACCTAGATTTGTTTCTGAAGTAGGGTCTTAATGAATCCTGTACTGCGTGGGTGCAGGGTCCAGTGCCTGACGAACTGGTGCTTAAATATGTATTTCCGATCCCTATATTCGCTTCTGTGTACAGATTGAGATCTTGAAGAATATTGTATGAACGAAATCTGTTGCGTGTGCATAGGGTGCAGTGGCTGGCGAACGGTCCTGGTGCTGCGCTCGCCCACTGCGCGTGGCGACCACGCCCCCACCGCCTTCGACGCGGACGACTTCTGCGTGCACGCCGCCGCGACTCCGACTCCTACGCGCTGCTGCTCTGCCCCTGCAACGCCTCCAGTGTTTCAGCAAGTGTTGTCCTTTCGGATTTGTGAAACAATGTGACGAGTTTGACTGTCGATGTGTAGAGAGCAAAGATGTTTGGGTCCCTATCCACGACGATCTTGAGTTACCTGAAGAACTGGATATCACGTATGAAATCCTTGAAGGCAACGAACCGATCTGCGAGAACGGATCCAACGTGTGGATTGATGATCCATCAAAAATGCCTTACCACCTGACTAGTGTCTGGTGGAAATACCCAGACGGGCTCGTGTTTGATCCCCTAAAATATTGTGGAGATTTTGTTAATCGAAAGAACTTGCCAATGTACCAAACAATCGGGTATTGTGAGAAATCATTTCCATTTGAAAGCCTTTTCGATACCGTTGCTATTGTCTACATACCAGCTGCCGTTTTATTAATGCTGACACTAGTGGTGGTAGCGCTTGTTCCAGAACACTCCAGTTCTGTATACGGCATGGTCCATAGGAGAGCACTGATATGCCATGCACTGTCTTTGATGATCTCAAATACCGTATTAGGTTCATATGTCCTGTCTACAAACGACACCATGTATTGTTTAGCAACACGTGAGTACAACTTGAAATGTGGCCCTGAATTGCAGAGACACACTTATATTTTCGAAGCGCTTATATCAAATTGTTGTATCATATTAAAACATATTACAATGAAAATAACCGTCTCTTTAAAATTACTTAGATCTATTAAAGTTTTTGAATCTGAACACAATTCTTAAAATGTTTTAAGGCATATTATAATACAGTTTATATTTTTAGAGCTAAAAATGTCAGCTCGAGAATTTGCAGACAAGAGAGACATTCGGTTCTCTGCTTTTCAGATATGCAATGTCCAAACGCCGATGGTATTCACTCACCTTAGAATTTAAATAATTGCTTTGAGAAACAAAGACGTAGATTATTATATTTACACGTTCCTCTCCCTTCTAAATTTCATAAAGCGATATGCTCTCGGGAGTGCTCAAGGGCAGTTGGGATTTTATTATTAATTTCCTATAGTTTACGTAAATTTAATATAACCATATAAAATACTATGTTCACTAATTCGTTTTCATTTGTAGCAATGATTATGTACTTCTCACTCGTCGCAGCAGCTTTCTGGCTCAATGTTCTTTGCATTAATTTGGCATGTGGATTTAAGTAAGTATATTTTTAATGTACCTAAATAATCGAGAAATCTATATTGATGTATTACCTATAAACATTTAAGAATCCATTTCGATAAATCCTCCATAACTTCACTACGAGTTCAAGCACTGTCATTGCTTGCGTCAAAATTTATTATAGAACTCATTCAGTTGTTTTTAACGTTTCATTTGCATTTAGAATTATATTATAAACAATCAGTTTTTTCAGTAACCCACGTGGCACTCAAGGTGCCAAAGGAAAGTCTGGCCGGAGGATCTTCTTTTATTATTCCGTTTATGCTTGGGGAGCATCTGCAACGATGACCGCCCTCACAGCTTATATGTGGCATGGCAAACGAATACCCAAGGGATGGTTAAGACCGACGCTTATGGAAACAAGAACCTGTTATTGGGAAGATGGTAAGATAACTTCATAATCGATTTATAACTGCAAATGCGTTGTTCAATTTCCTAATTCAGAGGAGAAGAAGCATTTTTCGGTAGAGACGAATGTGTTGCGATTTTTTAAAATAATTATTTCTTTCATCTTAATTGATTATAGAAGTTATTTCTGAATAGTTTTAGTGTTTCCTGGCTGAGCAAAGGTTACAACGTTTCAGAATCTCGAAAAATGGGAACATTTGCATATTATTATGGTCCTATGAGTGGGCTATTGATAGTAAACGCCTACCTCTTCTGTTGTACTATTCTGGGAGTCCGACGTCTGAGAAGAAATTCAGCAGTTCTGGAAGAGAATGGAAATAAGCGTTTTAGCCAGAGGTAATTTTCAGATGGATGTAGAACACTGCACTTCAAATAAAAACAAAGTTAATTCAATGTCATGGAATTGTAAGTACTTGAAAGCTGCCGTGATGGAAACATTGTGGGTTTTCTGCCCGGAGTACGTAAAATATTCTACAAGATTAGACATCTTGTATAATCTTGTAGAACACGAATATTATTAATCTTACAAACTAATTACATAAGCATGCAAAAACTCATCTTTGTGCTTATTATAAAAGATAATATTCTCTAACATAAATTGAAAACATGTCAATGCCACTAATTATTATTGCCTGTATAAAAACCGTCGACATTACTACGGTTTGTTGGCAAACCAATTTCGAAAGTGTAGTTTAAAAACTATATTTCCCCTAAATTTATGATCCTCAACTACATCGCGGTTGAATAGAAATGTTTCTCTATTGAACAAACTGAAATATAAGCATTTCCTTGTGGTTGTTTGGAATAAGTGGGCAACTAAAATGAATTCTGGTTATTTAAAGTTCACAGACGTTCGTAAACAAACAATGAAGAAATTAAATGATTGAGATTAATACAAATATCTCTACAAAAATATTTTCAAAAAATGGCATCGTTTTGTTTACAACTACTATTCCTTAGTTTCATTTTTATTTGAGAGTATGCTTATCAAGAAAGAAGCACGTCGCCCAATGATACATTTAATTCAGTGGTGTATTAATATTTTAAAGTACATTCAATAAGTACAGTACGGACAGAGTAAATGTATGCTTAAAATATGGATAAAATTAAAGTATAAATTATATAATCTTAAATTTTAGCATCCATCTAATGCTTGGAGACTGAACTTAAATATGGTCAAATTCCAATGACACGTCTTTGCCTTGAAAGTATGGTGTTCGATAGCTTGCACTGCCTGCCATTCGAACATATGCTTGCAAACTTCATTTTGAAATATTTTATTCCTTCAGCGTCTTCCTGTACGTCAAACTCCTGTGGGTGATGGGCGTGGCGGAGATGGCGGCAGAGTTGGCCGCTTGGGCGGTAAACGGCGGCGGCTTCTACTTCAACATCGCCGCGGAGATCATCGACTTGGCGCGCGCGGCGGCCATCTTCGTCCTCTGCGCGTGCAACAGGCGGACGGTGCGCGGCCTGCGCCGCCGCCTGCGCTTCTGCGCGAGTGCGAGTGCGAGTGCGAGCGCGAGCGCAGCAGACGGCGCGCAGAAAGCCTCGCGCGAGCCCGCGCCGCAGCCGTCGGCCAAGGGAGATTCGGTAGCCTCGCATTCGTCGGCGGCCACCCTCTCCACGCTGTGTGACGACGACCGAATGCCCGCTCGAGGGCTGGAAATGGCGGAGGTCAAGAGGCCTCGTGTTGACGAACACGCCGATTCTGGCGGCGGGGCTTCTCTTGTAGTGGAGGGATGTGCTGGCGTGTAGCGGAGACTGCTTTGTTACCACGAAGACTTATTATGACACACGCAGGGTCGTATCCGGAAAGTACGGTGCGCACGAAATCTCTCTCCACTGGGTTGAGTAGGGGCCTCCTATTAAAATTTGCATTTACGTTGGTATGAAACAGATCGCTGGGAAACAAGTAAAGGCTTCAACACTTCTAGCATTGTTATGATTTTGTTGAGTGCGATATTTACGTTTCCTTTTGTTACAAGCTGCAGCCCGTGCTACCAACATATTTTTTGTTGCAAGCACTCTAACCAGCAAGGTATCACTGCGGAGAGACGTTCCTGACGTACTATATAACAGAGGAATCTATTTCAGTTCGAGACTTCCTCATACAAAGCTGTTCAATATAAAGTGCTCTCTGTTTTAGAATGCTATTTTACCCACAATTAGCAGAAATGTTACATTTCAATGATACGCAATCGATTTGTTGCAATTACTTTGAAAAACTGCAGTAAAATCACAATTTTTGGGGGGTTGGGAGGGGAACAATATCACCAAGCCACCTCGCGAACAACCCTTTTTTTGTATTTACTCGATTTATTTCTCTCGTATCTGGATGCCGGAGCGAATATGTAATAGTTAGAGACATTTTCCTCTTGGAATAGTGTGGGCTAAAATGACGTCTTTATTTGTTTACTTCCTTAGTAGATAGTCAACGTTGATATGGTTACTTAAAACTGCTATCATTTCAGTCATTTCATTAAGCATGCTGTTTTTGGCAAAAGTTTTTTTTCATTAATATTTTCAATTGCATCCTAGGACGTTTTATTAATGTGAATTTCAAAATATGTAGGGAAGTTCAAAAAAATAAATTTTATTCTTTATGATAAGAATCTTTTACAATAATATGCTATTTCTCGTGTGCAGAGTTAATTAGATAGGTTACTGTATTTGGTGTTAAGTTGTACTTTTTTCTACGAAGTGTATACGAGAAAAAGTATTATTTTGCTTCAAGTGAAAACAAACAAATTTGTATGTCTCTTTCACTTCTTGTTTGTTTACTTGTACTAAATATTACCGATTCAAACAACTCATTAGAGACCACAATTGACCCACTACCCTTAGAATTTCCAATCCACAAGTTTCATGTAGTGTAATTGTTTTTCTTTAAACTATGCAATCGTTTTTCAGTGTCTTATTAATGCTCTCTTTCCCTAAAGTGGATATTCAGTATAAATTTACGCATAAAAAAGGAAAGCTTGCAACACATTCAAATATATAAACGAGTAATTCACTTTATTTAGCATCACGATTGACTAAATTGAGAACACGGAGGGGCTACCACACAACTTAGATCGTTGTGGTATATGAACAAATGAAGTGAATAATGTAACTATTTGAATTATTTATATTGCAGATAATTTAGTAGTTCATATCCTGAGTAATTAAAAATACATTATTTTTCGACTTGTTACTTTAAATGACCACATCTTTTGCAATAATATAATTTCGTAAACAAAAGAAGTTTCTTCAAATTACCGCTGTGCGTTAAAATTAATCCACCATTTCTCTTCTTCCTTTTGAATGAAATCATTTGTAATCATAATTCGAAAACTCTTCATATCATGTAATAGAATGTTAGCATATTTTTATATTTATTTATATTGAAAGTACGATAATTGACAAATGAACCTGAGTTGCAGACGTTTTGTCAAGGGCTTCGCAGTTTCTGGAGGAGACAAATATGTTGTAACTTAACATTAGCTCTTTGTTATATAAATACTTTTATAAATAATGTAAATTATTCATTACAATAATTTTGTATAAAGATAACTATATTTTACTCTAATATAAAAATATTTTATGAACTTGAAACAACATTGTAAGTGTAAGCACCAATATTTATAGTACAAATAAAATAATTTACGCATTGAACAGTTGAAAGAGTTTTACAACTAATTTTAACAATACGATGAAAGAGACTGACACTTCACGACTGGCATGACAACGCCGAACAAAAAATACACAAGCTACAAAATTGAAATTTGAAGTGTGGTTTCCTTATACGTTACTAATGAGATTATTTTTGAAAATTGATCTTCGACAAGCATAACATAGGGTTTGAAAGAGCAAAAATGTATTTGTTTTATGCAATCTGCACCGCAGGTACACAAGTATGAATGATTGAATGTCAGCTCAGCGAATAGGACAAGACGGGGCGAGGCGGGGCAGAACTACCTGAACGTCGCCTGTGATGTCCAAAATGCTGCGACAATTTCAATTAAAACGGTAACTTGAGAAGGAAAACAAACAAAGATAAAATTAAGTCTAAAGTCGCTATCTTATACAATTACATTTCATAGACATCTTGCAGATATAGACATTATTGATTGATTGAGTACTCAGTGATCACAGCCTTGCATTTATCTGATATATTGAACACATTTTATATTCCGGTTTGTTTATTTGAGATATATTCTTCAAATACGTGTGAGATAGTATTGGTATAATACCATAACGAGCCATTAAGTCTACATTGACCCACAATTAATACTTTAAATATTACGTATAATTATGCCTACACCGGGACAGCTTTCACAGCACTCAATGTAACGCACTTCAATGCACTTAAGTGTGCAATGCCTTTCGTACACATACGTTTCACTGTATACCACAACACTGCACATAAATAATATTTTTCCTTATAATAATAATTATAATATTAATAATAATAATAATAATACATCTTACTCTAGAGAATAGTTTAGTAATTTAATCGGGCGCAAAAGCAGCTGCAATAAACATTCATGTAATACATAAACAGGTAGGAAACATTAATTCTTAATTTAGCAGACTTCGCGCCGAATTTCCGTATGGGAATGCTCCCACTTGGAACGATGAGTCCCAGAGACTTATTTTTACTTGCTTGGGGAAACACATATAATTTAAATTATTCATTTATTTAGTTTTTGGAGTACATTTATTATGCGTAAACATGAATAATATGTAAATTGATGATAAATTTAGTGCGTTAAATTACTAGGGAAGTTTGATATTTACACACGTTAGTGCAAAAATTATTTAACGATACCACCTTCTAATGATAATCTAATGTTAAACTATGACAAAACTGCAAACAAAGGATTTTTTAATAATATTCTTAAAAAACGGCACTTTTAGGTTATTTGCCGCAATGGCCAAGAGTCAATTTTAGAATATAATATCGGAAATTAATATTTTGAGGATGTTAGCCGATGTGTATCAGACTTATTACCGGTACTAATATCATTAGTAGTACTGATACAAGTCAAGAAACTTGTGTGTTTCTAAAAAAAGCTGACATGTAATAGTGAAATTAGAGTGACTGATGGCAATTATAGATACACGGGAACGTTCCACAATTGCAATTTTCATATCAATTATACAAAAAAATTATAATGAGTGACTTTACTAATCTGAGCATTATGCCATTTGTTTATTGTATCTTAACTGTAATACATAGAATTCATAAAAAATATATTTGTTGTGTTGGTATCAGAGCAGACATAGTGTACACAAAAGGCCCGCATATGCGTAAAGATT